CGCTGCGCTGCTCTGCGCGCCCGCCGGCCTCTGCCTCCGCGTGCTCAGCGGTGAGTGCGGCGCGGCGCTCCGCGGCGCGGGGAGCTGCGGGGGCCCAGTCAGGGAGCTGGAGGGGGTCCCCATGGCATGCTAGGGGGGGCTGGAGGGGAGAGGACCATGAGGGGCTGGAGTGGGGTCCCCATGGGTAGCTCGGGGGATCTCCACGGGGGGCTGGAGGGGGGTCCCCATGCGGAGCAGGAGTGGGCCCCATGGTATAATAGGCGATGCTCGTGGGGAGCTGGAGGAGGGTCCCCATGGCATGCTAGGAAGGTCCCCATGAGGGGATGGGAATCCCCCTTCCAGCTCCCCATGGGGACCCCATGAGGGGCTCCTCCTCATGGGGAGTTGGAGGGGGAGGGTCCCCATGGGGTGATGGGGGATCCCCCCTGCAGCTTCCCATGAGGAAGAGCCCCTCATGGGGTCCCTATAGGGAGCTGGAGGGGGGATTCCCCAGCCCCTCATGGGGACCCCTCCTCCAGCTACCTGTGGGGATGAGCCCCTCCTGGGGGGTCTCATGAGGGGGCTGGTGGGGCTGAGCCCTCCGGTGCACTTGGGAAAAGACTGCCTTCCACTGCACAGTAGGGATTTTAGGGGCAGGATGGGCACTCAGTGCCTCTTCCTGGGGAGAGGAGGGGACCTTGGCTGGCTCCTGGCACCCATCCTGGTCCTTGCTTGCCCCCATTGCCTTATGCAGGGTTTATCTGATGGTTTGGATAGGCATGGAGCTGCCTTGGGTGCGGGGCCTGGACTAGATGGCCTGTGGAGGTTCCTTTTCTTTGTGACTGTGTGGCGAGGGAAGTTTAGGTTGGATGTTAGGAAAAACTTTCTCACTAGGAAAGTGCCAGAACAGGCTGCCCGGACAGGCTGTGGCATCTCCATCCTCCAAGGTTTTTAAGACCCAGCTAGACAAATGGGATGATCCAGTTGGGGATGGTCCTGCTTGGAGCAGGGGGTTAGACTAGATGCTCTCCTGAGGTCCCTTCCACCCTTCGTTGCTAGGATTTTATGACTCTTGCTAAAGCGTGGTGATGGCCAAGTGAGAGGACTTGGCTGCTTGGGGCAATTCCCACCCAGCACCTTGTAACAAGAAAGCCCCCCCTCCCCCCCTTTTTCAGGGGGCAAAGAGAGCATTTGCCCCTTGATGCTTCTGTGCTTTGGCCTAGCTAACAACAGCTCTAGGGAAGGGTGGGACAGGCTGAGAGGTCATGGGATAGGCAATGGGAAGTTTAACTCCAACCCCTGTGGTGGGTCACCGTTTGCACTTGGCTACAGCTGGAGGAATGCTGGCACCCAAACAATTTGTTGTGGCTTACAGCTGCCCCATTCTCTTTTTTTGATTGGGTCCCCCTCCTTTTGACCTATGGGAATAAACTAGGGGTGGTAGTCAGTTCCTCCTTGAGGTTTATTTGCCCCTCTCATCTGCTTCAGTGTTTGAGTTTCAAGTGCAGAGAGAGGAAGTTGGCAATATTGGGCTGAAGTCAGGCAGAAGGCATGGTAAAGATGTACGTTATAGATCAAGAGCACCTTTATAGTTTAAGATTTAAGACCCAGGTAGACAGAGCCTTGGTAGGGCTGATCCAGTTGCTTTGAGCAGGGGGTTGGACTAGATGACCTCCTGAGATCCCTTTGGACCCTCATGATTCTATACACAGAGAGAGAAGCAGCTTCTGGGAATCTAAGTTCACTTTATCAGATGCCGTGAAAAGACACAATCCGATGAAGTGAACTCAAATCAGCAAAAGCTTTTGCTCTCTCTCTAGATCTTATTTCACTAGTCTGTAAGGTGCATCGCTTCCTTGCTTTTTGAGTGGCGAGTTACCCAGTAAGACATTCCTTTTTTTTTTTAAAGTCCTGTTGTTTTAAGACTGGCTAGAGAAACAGAATAATATCTTGTGAAGTTTTTTATTTAGTTAGTTTTGAAAATTTTGCGGTACTTGTGTCTCTCTTTACGATGGAGGAAGAAAATGGAAGTGTGCATTTAAAGATTAGTTTTCATTTGCCCAGAAACATGAGACTGTTAGAACTAACTACAGTTGGATATATTGTATGGAATGTATACAATTTTCTCCTCTGTCTGAAATTCACCTCTTATATCTGCTGTGCATCTTCTGATCAAAAAATACTGTTTATTTTAACTATATTGTCCTCATGTGTATAATGGTCAGGTAGAACTAAATCTAAACTGGCAAACTCATTATAATTACAATCACAAAAATTCGATTTCTGATCTTCAGAAATGAAAACCCAGATCACCAAACCCCTATCAGGTCTTAACTTAGCATTTCTTAAGACTTCTTTCAGTGCAACATGAGGACAAGCTTTTTCTTTTGAGTTGAGGCTAACTTACAAACTTAGAAATGTTCTGTATGTTAGAGTAAATGATTTTAAAAGGATAATAAGTACCTGTTGCCACACTTTTTGTGACTAATATTTAAGCGCTGTTAACTATGCAGAATTTTTTCTTCCTGTCATAATACAATAAAGTAATACAACTTTAATGTCATAAATCTTAATTATACAGGTTATACAGCTCCATTTTCATTTATCTGATGTGCTGCTTCACTACAAATATCTAAAAAGCAAGAGGGAGTCAGTCTTCATTGAAATGTGGGTTTAGTTTTAGGATCCCCTCTTGCATTCCTTGCAGACACAGTGTCTGATCCAGAAGTCACTGAATTTACAGGAAAATATGCCATTAATTTCAGTTGGCTTTAGATTAGGCCCTCAAAGTTGAAGCCATTGGACTACACAAGGAATACAAAACCTAGCTCACAGGTTCCCTTTGCTGCAAAAGTATATGCATACTTGCCTACACTTTTGTTACAGTAGTTATATACATAATTCTCTGTGCAAGCAGATAAAATGGTATATTTATACACCAATTCCAGAGCATTAAAAATGACTTCCCTTGGCTATTGCAGTGATGGCATATGTATTGAGAACCTTGACTCACACTGTTCTTTTATGTTTTTTGTTTCAAGAAACAAGACATATACTGACATGCTTTGTGTAGTTGGAGAGACACCTTCATCTAAAGTGCATACTGAAGTGCACCATCTAACTTTGTATCGTATATACAAAGCTGGGCTAAGAACCTCTATGTATTTTTATAATTAAATGTTTATGTGTGCTTATTATAGGTGTCATTAGGAAATGAATAATTGACATTCTGTTTAACATTTGCAAGTCTCCATTTTGTGTTGAACTTCTAACAGTGACTTTCCCATACTTGATTTAAGGAGATTTGAACACTTAGTTTTCACTCATTTAATGATATTTGTGACTTCAGTTTATAAAGGCCTATCTGCATGAATATCAGTTTTTAAACCAATCTAGGGCACATATGTATTTGCATTGTGGCTCAGATTTTATTAGATTCCAAGTAAGACTTTAATTTTTGGAAGCCACAGATGCTAGACATCATTTTTTAAACACAAAATTAGTCTCTTCTTGGCCTTATCATGGTACACTAGGGTGTACTTGGCTCACAAATACAGAACAGTTTTTGAAGCAGAAATCATTCAGGGATGTTTTGGGGCTTAATTGGCTACAGCTTGGTTGGATATGTAATAATAAACTGTACAAAACAGCAGTGATCAGTACAGAGAGGCAGAGAGTGCTTCTTTTTGATGAAAGAGAAGTGTCTTTGGATGAGGCTGCATTCTTACCATACTGCAAAGACTTGGAAGTGCCTGGTACTACTGGTAATGCCAACACACCTTGTCAACAGAAGCACTGGTAAAGGTGGGTGTAGGGCTCTCTCTGCCATTCTTTGCCTTCTTACCTTGTACACTTATCCATTAACAGCAACAGTTTGGCTTAAAACTTTAGTTAGTGGTGAGAAAAGGAAAGAAGAAAAGTTTCTTATTTACATTTTTAATGAACCTGTATTCTTTAAAAATTGTGACTACCTCATCTTTCCACCCCTTTCCTAAACTGGCTACATCTTCTTAAAACTAAAATAGAGCATATTCCTCATTATGGTCTTGACCCATTATGCACAGAAGACAGTAGGAAGATCCCATTGACTCCTGTTGTTACACAGTTTCAGCAAAGTAGCCGAAATAAATGGCAAAGACAGAAATATACAGTTACCCTTACCATTTTGGTGCAAGTGATAGAAGACCATAGAAAAGACTGCTCAGCTTTTAAAAATGTCTTGCAAGTTATTTTTTGGGCTAGATATTAGGAAAAACTCTCTCACTAGGAGGGTAGTAAAACACTGGAACAGGTTACCCAGAGGGGCTGTGGAGTCTCCTTCCTTGGAGGCTTTTAAGACCTGGCTAGACAAAGCTTTGGCTGGGTTGATCTAGTTGGGGATCATCCTGTTTGGAACAGGGGGTTAGATTAGAAAACCTCCTCAGGTCCCTACCAACCTTAATTTTCTATGATTCTACTTAGTTTAGGCTTTTCAGTTTTGTTTAGCTTTTCCATTTCCATTTCACTTCTCTTATTTTCTTGCCAACAGATCAATTTGTGAATAAGATCCAACTAGATAAAGAATATCAACTGGCTTGTTTTTAAGCAGATATTTTACACTTTGGTGACATTATCAGCCATCATTATTTTGATTTCTGAATTACTGAAGAAAAATACTGCAAATGAACCTCACTTTAATGCAGATGTAGAGAAATTTTTGTCAGCTATGATTACAGGAGCTAATGTCAGAATGTCTAGCATTGACAGAGAAGAGATTCTAAAAGAAAATAACAAAGTAGGGCCAGGAAGAAAACTGCTGAGTATTACATAGTCTGCATTGCTATCTCATGACATCATAAAGAACATGAAGTGATGATAATGCAGTTTGCAGAGATGCAATTACTTTAAGTACCTATTGGGCAGGAAAGAAACAGGCTAATCTTATTAGTAACCATTTAGCAACCTATGTATTAATCATAGCCATTATACCTTAATGACTGCTGTTTGCTGTCATTTTATGTTTGTTTTTTAATAGCGATATTTTCTTGATTATGGGAGTGCATGTTTTAGTAGATTTTATACTTGCAGTATT